TTGATATGAATAATTGATCGTGACTTTTTCTCCTCCCCTCAAATTTATCACCTCCTATTTACAGAAAACATTTGTAAGATTATCATGGCACTACTCAATTGGATTTATTAGCTGTATACTCTTCCACGTCTTGTGAATTAATCTCCTTAAAAAGAGTAGATGTGTTTTGTTTTTTAAAAATAGTATCATTGTTGCTGCTGTTGTTCCTGTTCTTGTTGCATATATTAATGAGATAAGTTCCTTTATATTTAAAAAAATGTGCCATAAATTTGTTGCATAAAACTACTTCTTTTGCATTTCCAATAGCATCTTTTTTGTTTTTTTGGCAGAGCTTTACACACGTATATTTATTTATAAAAGTTGTTGACCTAATATTAGTTGGTTCTTTACCCAGATAATAAAATTAAATGGGAAACATCTTGACTCAAAAGATTAGTTCAGTTTCATCATAATGTATACCATGTCAAAAATAGCAAGGAATGTAAATGGGGCAATTATCATTTATTGTGTGCTTTTTTTCTTTTCAATTAGCAAAATCAGGGACCTCTGTGTTACAGTGTTCAATATCAACTTGAATTTCCCATATCACTCTAAAAGGTACAATACTGAATTCCCCAAGGCATCATGCCACTTCAGCATAAGTGTATGGAGGAGATAGTGGAATGAAAGGAGAAGACAGATTAGAAAATTTCTCTCATTTTTTTTCAGCATTTGAGAGAATTTTCCTTTGTCATTTGGGGCTTCATGCTGATTGAAAAAGGCTGGTTACTTATTACACCAATACATCACATTGTATTGACATCACATTGTATCTTAAAACTTAAATAACTTTGGTAGGTGACATGATTGTCTACGTAGAAAATACCAAAGAACCAACAACACAGCAAACTCCTAGAACTAATAAGTGATTATACTAAGGTTGCAGGATAAAAGTTAACATACAAAATCAATTGATTTTCTATATGCCAGCAATAAACCACTGGAATTCAAAATTGAAACACATTACTTATAATAACATTAAAAATATAAAATATTTAGTTATAAATTTAACAATACATGCACAGGATTCATTTAAGGAAAAGTACAAAACTCTGATGAAAGAAATCAAAGAGAGATCTAAATAATGGAGACATATTTCATGATAATGGGTAGGAAAACCCTATATTGTTAAAGATGTCAGCTAAGATGTGAGTTCAGACATCTCACTAAAGCCTACATACAGATGGAAATAAGTGTCTTAAAAGATGATCAACATCATATATTACTTGGTAATTAAAAATTAAAACAATAATGAGATACTACAAGACACCTATTAGAATGGCCAAAATGTAAAACACTGACAACATCAAATGCTGGCAGGGATGGAAGGCATTGAGATCTCATTCATTGCTGGTTAGAATGCAGAATGATAAAGCAACTTTGCAAGATAGTTTGGCAGTTTTATACAAAGCTAAACATAGACTTACCATATGATCCAGAAATTGTGTTCCTAATTGCTTACCCAAGATGAAAAGTTATGTGCACACAAAACCCTGCACATGCATGTTTCTAGCAGCTTTATACATAATTGCCGAAAATTGAAAGCAACCAAGACACATCCATCAATCCGCGAATAGATAAGCTGTAATATAGCCATTCGATGGAACATTATTTAGCAATAAGAAAAAATAAGGTATCAAGCCACAAAAAGTCATAGAAGAACCTTTGATGCACATTGATAAGTGAAAGAATTCAGTCTAAAAAGGCTACACACTGCATGATTTCAACTACATGACATTCTAGAAAAGTAAAAAATACGGAAATATAAACAGATCAGTAGTTGCCAGGAATTCAGGGCAAGAAAAGGAAGGATGAATCAGTGGAACACAGGAGATTTTTAAGGCAGTAAAACTATTCTGTATGATGCAGTAATCATAGATACATGGCTTTTTAAAATTTCTTTTCTTCTGGCTTTAGCTTTGGTTTGCTCTTCCTTTTCTAGTTCCTTGAGAGGTGTCATTAGATTGGTAATTTGTGATCTTTCTGTCTTTTTGATATAGGCATTTAAGGCTATGAATTTTCACCTTAGGACTACTTTTGCTAAATCTCATTGATTTTGGTAGCTTGTGTCTCCTTTGTTCAATATGAGGAATCTTTTGATCTCCGTCTTAATTTCATTAGTGACTCAATAATCGTTCAGCAGCAGGTTGTGTATTTCCAAGACTTTGTGGAGAACTGAGTGTTTCTTTTGTAGTTGGTTTCTAGTTTTATTCCACTGTCATCTGAGAATGTACATAGGATGATTTTTACTTTTTTTAATTTATTGAGACATGTTTTGTGGCCTAAAATATGACCAATCTTGGAGAAGTTTCCATGTGCTGATGAGAAGAATGTATATTCAGTAGTTTTTGAGTAAAATGTCCTATAAATATCTGTTAGGCCCATTTTTTCTAGAGTCTCATTGAAGTACAGTGTTTTTTATTTATTTTCTGCTTGGATGATCTGTCAAGTTTTGTCAGTGAGGTGTTAAAGTCCTCAGCCATTACTATGCTGCTATGTATCTCTTTGCTTAGAACTAGTACGGTTTGCTTTATGAATGTGAGCACTCCTGTCTTGGGTGCATAAATATTTAGGATTGTTATGTCTTCTTTTTTAATTGTTTCCTTTACCATTATGTAATGACCATCTTTGTCTGTCTTTATTATTGCTGACTTAAAGTCAATTTTATATGATATGAGAATGGCTACACCTACTTTCTTTTGGTTTCCACTTGCATGGAATTTTTTTCCCATCCCTTCACCTTGAATCTGTGTGTTAGATGTGTTTTCTGGAGATAGCAGATACTTGGGTTGTATTTTTTCATTCATTCAACCATCCTGTGGCTCTTGAGGGGAGGCATTCAGACTGTTCACGTTGATTGATACAATTGATATGTGAGATGTTGTCCTCTTCATCCCATTGGGTAGAACCTTATGGCTTTGTTTTACCTCTTGTGCTATTGCTTAATATGAGCACTGAGCTTTAGCTTTTGGGTGGTTTTACTCTGGGTTTGTAGAGGGGTGTCTATTGTGCTGTTCCATGTATAATTCAGTTCTGAGTATTTCCTTCAGGGCAGGTCTAGTCTCAAAAAATTCCCTCAGTGTTTATTTGTCTAGAAAGTCTTTATTTCTTCTTCATATATGAAACTTACTTTTGCAGGATACAAAATTCTAGGCTGGCAGTTGTTCTGTTTAAGAAGACAGAGGATGGGGCTCTAATCACTTCTGGCTTGTAAGGTCTCTATTGGGAAGTCTGCAGGTAGCCTGATAGGTTTTCCTTTGTAAGTTACTTGATGATTTTGCCTCACAGCTCACAGGAGTTCCTCCTTCATGTTGACTTTGGCCAACCTAATGGCTATGTGTCTTGGTGATTGCCTCTTTGCAGTAAATCTCCTGGGTGTTCATTGAGCTTTTTATATCTTGATGTGTAAATCCCTAGCAAGACCAGGGAAGTCTTCCTTAATTATTTCCTCAAATAAGTTTTCCAGCCCTTGTGCATTATTTTCTTCACCCTCAGGGATGTCTATGATTCTTATATTTGGCTGTTTTACATAATACCATATGTCCTGTAGGCCTTGTTCATTCCTCATAATTTTCAGTTCTTCATTTTGGACTGACTTAGTTAATTCAAAAGCATTGTTTTCAAGCTCTTAGATTATTTCTTCTGTTAGTCTATTCTTAAAATTTTACACCGTGCTTTCATTTCCAGAAGTTCCATTTGTTTTTTGTTTTTTTAATGTATTGATATCTTCAGTAAATTTTTCCTTCATTTCCTGAATTGTTTTTCTGATTTCTTTGAGTTGGTTTTCCATTTTCTCTTGGATTTCATTGAGCTTCCTTACATTCCATATTTGGAATTCTTTTTCTGTCATTTCAATATTTTCATCCATTACTGGAGAGCTGGTGTTCCCTTTTGAGTGTATCCTTTTGCTTTGATTTTTCATACTTCTGGAGTTCTCTACTGATTCTTTCTCATCTAGGGAAACTGTCATTTCTTATTTTTGGACTTTCTTTTGTTTAGATGGGGCTTTCTTTTTCTTTCCCCCTCACTGGTAAGGGACTGTCTGTAGCATACGTTGGTTAAGAACCCTAGGCTTTGCTTGTGGGTGCTTTGATAGGGGTCTAGGTTCTGGATGGATGCCCTGGCTATAGATATCCTTAGTATGATGGTTTTCTCAGTTGCTAGTTGTATGTATGCTATAGGCCATTATGTTATACATTTATCAAAATTCATAAAACTCTACAACACAAAGAATGAACCTAATGTCAACTAATAACTTTAATAATGGTGTATCAGTATTGGTTCATCAATTGTAACAAGTATGGCACATCACTACGAGATCATGATAATAGGGGAAACTGCAGAGGGCTAGGGAGTATATGGGAATTCTGCACTTTCTACTCAAGTCTTTTGTAAACCTAAAACTTCTCTAAAATGTTAAGTATATTACTTAAAAAATTTGTCCATTGCAAATAAAAAAATTAACTTGGAAAATTATATATTACACATAGGTATAAAATATGCACACATATACATATATATGCATGTACACACATTCAAATAAAATATCAGTAACTACACATCTCTTTTTACCATAATTCTTAAGTGTTACACTCTGTTATTTTCCCTCTCCTAATGTAATGTTTCTACATGGACTAATACGATATACAGGAGGTAAGGAAATAGAGGCATTGAAGCTGAATTATGCTTACAATAAATTTGGTAGTGAAGGGAAATAGGACTGAAATGAATAGCTGTGGGAGTCTTAGGGTCTAGGAAAGAAAGAATTATTTGTAAAGGACATAATGATACCAACTATAGATATATACAATTGGTGGCTTAATAAATTGTATTCTGTAGTTATTTCACTTCCTTGTCAAGAAATATGGACAGATAATTGATTATAAAACTGCATACCAAAAGTATATTTAACATTTTCCCAATGCATGAAATGTTTGGAAAACAAACAAACAAATACATACCAGTAGCTCATCGATGCTGATCATTAGGACGCTTTCATATTCTTTGCCATCTTGACCTTCAATATCACAATCAGATGATGCTACTGGCAACAGAACAAGGATCAATGGAGGAATTCCAAAGATATACCTAAAAGAAACTAAATTTAAAAGCAAATAAGAATGAGTTAAATGTGATGTCATATTACATTTGATTGCAGTGTTTCAATGGACTTGATCACTTATTTCTAATAATTTTTAGAATGCAGCTCAGTTTTGGAGTAGTGTAGGAAGAGCCCAAAAAGTTGAAATTATGTAACAAAGAAAGTGGAACGGCATTTTGGCATAGATTTCTTTCACTTTTTTAATTTTAAAATTACTCTTTGGGAAAGACGAAAAGGGATGTGATGAAATCAGAGACTCCTTGCTTCTGAAAAACACTTCAGGGTGTAATGACAATTTGTTCTACTGGGTTTGTGTTGGACATCACTGTAAGAAAATACATCTACAGGTCTAGAAGTGTACTACAATTTAAAGAGTTACATGTTGTTTGAAATTTCATGGTGTAGATGCAATGGTCCCCCAACCTTTATGGAACCAGGGACTGGTTTCATGGAAGACAATTTTTCCATGCATGGCATAGGAGGGGGCTGGAGGCAGAGGTAAGATGGTGATGTGAGCAAGCGGGATTGAGGTGGTGCACTGGAGCTCTGCAGCCCAGTCCCTAGCAGGTATGGGTCCTCGGCCCAGGGATTGGGGACCACAGGTGTATGGTTTATGATTGTATATTTTTGTGAAACGTGATGGTAGTTCATGTGTCCAGTTACTTCATGGAGGCAACACTGTGGGAGGTTAATCTTCATGGTACTGCATGGTGATTATGTTCTTTCTTTCTAAACCTTAAAGGGTTTACAGTTCCCAAAACTCTTATAAAGTCTACATTTGCATTTGGGGACTCTCTCCCTGTTCTTTCACTATTTTCTGTTTCTAAATGCTCACAGACCCATATTCTTTTCAAACACAGTTCTGTCCAGCTTCTTGCCATGTAAGAGAAGCTCAATAAATATATTCACATCCTGGTAACCAATGATTTATATCTGTTTTTTTATAACCCTTCCCAATGAAGGGCAATTGTCCAATCAAAAGAAATGAAATTATAAATGGTATCATTTGGGGCAGTTATGATGGCCTGTGATTCCCAGAAACATTAAAGTCTGGTTATATAGGGACCTATTTCTTCATAAGCCTGCCATAGTGTCTTGTTTGCATCATTCTGTAAATTCCTGAGTTACAGTGATAATTTATTTTCTCTGAATTTCCCAAATGAACTTTAACTGTACTTGTTGAGTGCAAGATGTTTCACTTCCATGTCTTCTCTGATTATGAGTACAAACAATACTCCTTCTAACCTAAGGAACTAATATTGTGACAACAGCCTAACAACTCTTAAGGATATCATAAAGTTCTCAATAACATTGTCATCTATTATATCGTTATCTGCCATATAAAAATTCAGTAGCACTCACCAATAAATTAACTGACCCATATTTTTACGATTAGAGAATGTTGGCTCGGTAGCAGTTATGGGAACAAAGATAAAGCCTGCTTTTCCTTTTCATATGTGACTGACACTTGACATGGTAAGAGAACAAAAATAATCTAGAAATGAGACAAAATTGTCAAAATCTATTCATAGCTCTGCCACTAAATGTCTATATGAATGATGAGCAAGAATTCACTTAGGAGATTAATAATGATGATGCTAGTTACCTTAATTGAGTACCTACCACGTGCCAGGGACTGTTTATATACATGTATACACACATAAAATATGTGATCTCTAAATGTCAAAAGAGTCCTTCAAGTTAATCTCATTATAACACAGAGAGAGTAGGTGCCAGGTCTGGATGCTAACCTGATTTGTTGTCTCACCAAGATTTGATCAGAAATGGTCACAATCTATTGAGAATATGTAATCACATTGGTCTTCTGAATGAAAAACACTTCCGTGTAATATTATTCAATTTTGCCTCTCTCTTTTACTGCTGTTCCTTTATCCTAAAGATTCTCAAATAATGATCAACCGCTAATTATTTGCAAGGTCTGACCTTGTAATCAGATTTGTATAAATTGTTTAGAAACAAACTTTTTATTTTCTCTGTCACCTTACAGGCGTTCAAAAGGTATACTTTGAGAGGAGTAGGTGATGATAAAGGAAAAATTATGTGGCATTTGACTTGAAATGAGCTTATAGGAGAATATAAAAAAATAATTAAATACTAAAGAGATATTTTTGCCATTATCCTAAATGTTATTTCAAAAGTCAACCTTATATGTTTTAATAAGTGTGATTGTTTTATTTTTTATGAGCATTACCTGTCCTATTCTCCCCAATTTTCAACAATTAGTGTACCTCAAATTCACATCAACCTATTTATTCACTGGATGATATTTTGTCAATTCTTTCCAAAGATGGATTGGTGAAAAATTCAGTCTTTTTGTTTGTGTATTACAACTGGTATATTCTGTTGTTAAGTACCATTGTTGTTGTTGAATAATTAGTCCCAAACAGACTAGGGCGATGCAAAGCACAAAGGGTTTGCAATACAGGATACATGAGGTTTTTGTCTTGGTATGACAATGGGCTGTGTGACTGAGAGAATGACAGAGCATCTTTTAAGCTTCATTTACCTGATTTCTAAAATTAAAACTTTAGACTACATGATCTCTTGATATTGCTTTCAGCTATTAGGCACTTTAATTCTAAGAATCTGCCTGGCCATCTCAAAACTCCAGAAACTCTTTAGATTTGAAATGACTGCAGGGACAATGCTGCATATACACCCAGCACCTGGGACTCATGTCTCTTAGGTTCTTGGCTTTCTCATTAATGATATGTAGTTTGGTCTGTAATTGAAGTCCTTTCTGTCACACCACATAGAGAGTAACATATTAAGATTGCCTGGGTTGAAAGTGCTTTTGACACTGTTGTCACACTCAACGCTGAACTTTTCATTAGGTTACAGAAAAGATAAACCATAAGGAACAATGCAAGGCAAGTGTGGGCTTGTGGAATTCTTTAGATCTCCTGAAGGGATTGAAACTGGAGAATTTGTTTTCAGTAGGGAATTTGGTTAAACCAGAATGATGGCTGTCTAAAAATTCTTGTTGGTTTTTAATTTAAGCCAAATAATACATTCAATCCTCAGCTGCTTAAGTTATGGGGTGAAAGTGAACATAAATAAATTGTTTTACACAGTCCATCAAATCCAGCCTTTTATCAGTCTTTAAGATCGATGCTTACTGAATGTTCATGACATGGACCTATTTTCACTGGGAATTTAATTCTATAACCATTTCATATAATCAATTCATAAGGTAAATACTATAAGTTATTTACATTTTACAGATAGAAACTCTGTGGCACAAAGAAACTTTTTCCTATGTATAATTTATCTAGTAAGAGCCAAGATCCAAATCCAGGTTTGTCAGATTGAAGAGTCTAGAAACTCAGCTTTCAGCTGCTGTACTATACTGCTTCCTATAAAAATAACTGTGTATGTGTAGTCAAGAGGAATGCACAAAAACACCATCTTCCTCTGCATGAACTGCAATAAGATACTTCCTGACCAAGCTATGAAACTGCATCATGAGCTCTTATTTCAGAAAAAAAAAAGGACACTAAATGTTTGCTCTCATTATTGTAGGTTAGGTGTCAGAGGTGAAACCATAAAAAAAAAAAATCTCACACACAAGTGTGATTATAACATTTAAGTTGGTCCTATGAAATAACCTTTTCCATTTTTAGGATATTTAAACATTGATGTGGTACAGTTTGCAATTCTCCTTTTTACCTGTCCGGGCTTTCTAATTTTTCTCAGTCCCCTCTCCCTCTCTTTTTCTTTCTTTTATTAATAACTATTCTACTTTTCGGTCCTCAAATATGATGAAATTAACCAAGCCAGATAGCATAGGTGAAGAACACATAGTAAGTCCTCAACTACTTCAACTCCCAAAAAGAAAGGGGAAAAAAATTGTAAAGAGTAGCCTTATTCACCCTCTTGATGGAGCTTAATCTTCTAGAGAAATCTCTTGAGACAAAATGCAGAAAGACACTCATTATAATCATTACTATTAGAATTTTAATATATTGTCTGCTAATAACTTATGGTGAATGATTAATATAGACATACTGTAGAACATAAAGGCTCTTTGTTAAGAATGCACACTCTAGCTTCCAGTTCTTGTTTTATCTTTCTACTTGGGATCGGAGGTTGCAACTCAAGGCTTAGGACCAGAAGTGATCCAGAAAGAAGTAATTGCAAGAGAACCACAGACATTACAAGAAAACAGGGATATGTTCAATTTCTAATTTTATATTAAGCTGCTACAAATCGTCTCCCAAAATTGTCTTGGGTTATCTTCCTCCTCCCCCTCCTCCCCTACCGTTATTTTGTTACAGATCCAGTACTCCTTGGTTATATCAATTCTTGTTTTTCTAATACCTATGGTAGGGAAAAAGACCACTTTTGATCTAACGGAGTAGGCAGGAAAGCGCACAGGGAAGAGCAGTCAGTTCCCTATTCCCGCACCCTCCCCCACTGTCCTCTTTGGCTTGAGGAAGTACTTACTGTAAAACATTCCAATTCCCTAAGCAGATCCTCTCCCCTCACATCCCTTTTCCCCCTTTTTTCCCTCCAAGAAATTTTTTGGGGAGAGAAGGGACCTTAACATTGGCCACAAGGCTGCCAACGGAATCCAGCCCACCTCGACTCTGCCCTTGTACATTTTAAATCCGTATCAGCGCAAATAAAATATAAGAGATCTCAGCAAGAGTCTAGAGTTTAAACTCATGACTACTTAATACTGCCTCCATCAAGGAGCGAGCATGTAACAGGCAAAAAATAGAAGCTGGCTTTTCTCCGTGCCAGCCCCAGGGCTTGGGTTCCCAGCAAACGGCACAGGGTACAGCCCCAGTCGGAAACTCCCAACCTTACTCAGGGGGAAAAACGGGGTTTTCCGGAGACCTGTCCCTTTAGGGTTTAAAAGCGCGTCCCGTGGGAGCTTCGCTTTCACTTCTCTAGGGAGTTCGGAGCGGCAAGAGCCCAGCTGCTCGCCAAACCCCGCGGCCGCCCGCGTGAGTGACTTGGCGCAGCCAGAAACGAGGTAAGGGCGGGTCGGGCGCAGCGCTGGCTGGGGGCAGACACACAGACAGGCTAACAGAGACCCATTGGCTACCTCTGAGACCCAGGTGTAGGCTGCCGCCGCTGAGCGACGCGGAGGCTGCAGCGCTCGGTCTCGGGACAGAAAGCCGGCGTCGGGGACTGCTTCTCACAGCCTGCCAGGCGCAGCAGCCAGAGGTGTGCCTGTGGGCCACAGGACTCCGGCGCAGCTGGCAGCTGCCCGTGGGAGAGCCAGCGCTCTCGGCAGGTCCAAAGTGCAAGGCCGGGCTATTCCCGGACGTGCCTTGCAGCGGGGGCCAGCGGCGCGTCCCGCAGTGTCCCGGCGCGCAGGGCGCGCGAACTTGTGCGCCGCGCGAGAGAGGAGCGCTTACCATGGAACATGGTCCGCAGGAGGGGGGCGTAGTCATGATGACCGCAACTGTAGCAGGAGCAAGTTCTCGCCGCCCATAGTCACTCCCAGGACCTGGTCTTCCGTGGAGTTGCCGAGAGTGGTTGCCCAGCAGGGCGATCTCTGCAGCTGGTTCCTCTCACCCACGCCGCGCCTGCTGTTTCATCCATCCCAGGGGGGGCGGCACACACCACGGCCAGGCTCTGCGCTTTGCCTTTTCCATAACTTCCGTAGGATCCGCCGGCGGTGTACTTTCAGTTTCTACTTTGCACTTGGTCTGCAGGTTCAGTCTTTGGGTTTATCACCGGCGCGCCTACACCGCCTCCTTTCCTAGGCACCTGCTTCCCATGCACCTGGACCTGGACCAGAGGAGGGCGCGAATTTCCAAAGCACCGCAGGAGAAACGAGCCGGCTTTCTGAATCAGAGCGATTTGGGGTAAAAAGCCTTGTCAGATGACCTCCAAGGGCCTTGGCAAACGCTGGGCGATTGGATTGCTAATAAGTCCACAGAAGCCACAAATGTGCAAGACGCAAGCTGGACTATTGCAAGTGGAGGCGTCCACCGAGGAGGCGTCCACCGAGGAGGCGTCTCAGCTCCTGCCGCGGATGTGGTGGACGTTGCCAAGTCGTCTTGTAAAAAAAGGAAGTGAAAAATGATTAAGAGGGTCACGCCCTCTGCCCCTCCAACCTCTCTAATCAGTCTCTTTCAGCTCTGTCTTCTGTACATGCACCTGCTCAGGTGGAACCTCAAGGAAAAATATCCTGTGGGTCCACCTAATCTGGTAAGTGGTATCTTTGGAAAATTAAGCTCCAATTTTAGTGGAGGACATGGAAACTGACTATAATAGTTAATAACTGAGACTTCCACTTGCATGTTTATCTTAATTGGCTAATAAATCACACTGTCTGTCTTGACTGTGTGTCTCTGAGGTGTTAATTTTTTCCTAGGTCTGAATTATCTAGGTCTTTTCTGCGTTATTTGGGTTTCTGATATTCTGCGGAAACCCTGAAGGTGGATAATGTAAACCAGTAACAACAGAGATAATAATAATGGCTATCATTTATCTCGCATTTGCTCTCTGCCAGTATTGTGCTAAGCATTCTACACATACCGTCTCATGCAAAACTTTCTATGAGGTAGACCGTTTTCTTATCTGCACTTTACAGATGTAAGAATTTAGACTTCTCTAAGTGACTTTTCAGAGTCTACTTAGCTAACAGAGTTTGGATACAAACCTGCTGCATTTTGGCCCTAGAGTCCATGCTTGGAAATCCTGTTAGAAGTCCTTGTGAATAATGCAATAATGTAGACATTGCCGCCAAGAGGGAGGCATCAGCACGTGGGTGTGCTTATGCCTGGGTGTGGCGACCTCAGGAAAGGTTTCTGGAATCTGTGATTTCTAAATTGCTACCTGAACAGGAATGAACGGGGCGCTGATGAAGAGCATTCTACTTTCTATCATGGTGTGAACCAAGAAGAGGAAAAGAGGAGGCAGGGAGGAAGAAAAAGAATAACAATGAATTAGAGAGTGAGACAGAGTTACTCAAGCCTGAACCTTGGATCTCTGTGTGCTCTTTTAGTCTTACTTATCACGTCCAATCCATAGGCAAGTCCTGCTTGCTCTGCCTCCAAAATAAACCCTGCAGGGTGACTACAGAAGCTGTCTAAGGGATCTTGCAGCTTTCACTCTTGCCAATAACCTCCTCATTTTCCTCAGAGCAGTGGGATATCTGATTACAATTCCCACTCTTTTTGGTCACTTCCCACTGGGTACCAGGCCCTCAAGGCCCTGCTGCCTTCTCTGACCGCTGGCCCCTCATACCCATCTCACTGTGTTCCAGCAGCACTGGCCTTTTTCTTCTAGCCCAGCTTACTTCCACTTAGGATGATCTCCAACACATGGCTGGCAGTCGGTAAGTATTGCTCAGTGAAAGAGTAAGAGAGAACAAGTGAATGAGAATGCATGAATGAATATGTGTGAAGGCAGAAGGGAAATAGAAGGAAAGAGGAAGAGAATGAGGGGAGCAAATGAAAACAGGAGAGAGAATAGAGTGGGAAAAGCCAAATATTTCCATTTGACTAAAACCTGGAGTGAAAGGTGGGGAGGAGAGAGACATGGGCCTGGAGTGGCTTTTAAAAATGAATTATAAACTAAACACACCTAGCTTGAGGATTTATTTATTTCAAATCCCCAACAGCAGCATTGAGGTATGTAACTGCTCATAGCCTGTACATTTTTATTTTAACTTTTCAGGGACAAAATAAAAGAGCATTTATTAATAACTTAAGAGGAAATTCATCTTCCTTTTTGTTAAAATCACCATAACGCCTGGAAGATTAAGGGCTTGTGCATACCTGAACTTTGGGAGAGCATTGGGGGAAATTAGAGTCCTGGGGGAGGAAATGTAAATTTCTCACTGGATTCTTCCTGTAAATTAAAGCATTTCAAGTCTTTATGATTATGTGAAAATGGGCATATTCTAACTACGTCAAGTTATTATTTTTCTAAAAGAGAATAAATATCATTTGGAAAAAATTCCAAAATGAAGTCCTAAATTAGCTTTTGACATTTTGATAATCTGGATGTTATTTTTTATAAGACAGATGGACAAGGAAAATGTTTCATAACTTTTTTAAATGCTAATTTTTCATGATTAAATAAATGCAGTGATTACTATTATGTTTGCTCATAGACTCAATGATTTGTGCAGAAAAGCTAACAAGGAGACAAAACAGTATATAAATTCTATGAATTATAATAAAAATATTAAAAGAGAAGACAACATTCTCAGAATGATCAATGAATATATGATGTCAACTTAAATAGAAAATTTTTGTATGACCAGTGTCTTAATGATCTATAGTCTTCAATCAAATAGTCAATCATTGCTAGCCTAAAAATATTTTCTTGATTAATTATCTGAACTATTTTTACTCAACTAAATATGACTACTCCTTATAGTCTGTGATCTGAATTTTATCTATTACTGTATCTACAGATAGTTTCTGAATTCCTATGGTTTAACGTTCGAGGCATAATATTCAACATATTTCAAACACACGCTCATAGATACACAGATGGACACACACACACACAGAATCAGTTTTAGGACAATGTGATCTGTGCATCTGTGCAGTTTCTCAGGGGCCTATATTTAGAATGGCCAGTTTTTGGTTTGATGCTCTTTTGTCAATGCCTTGAAATTCTTAACTATTTTTGGAACAGGAGATGCTTATTTTCACATTACACTGGGTATCACAAATTCTGCAATTTGTCGTGGACATTCATACATGCTAAGTTAAACATTGTAGATATCAATCTATGTCTTTAAGGTGGTTTCAGTCTGGTTGGGAAAACAGATGTTAAATGTCTAATTTCAAAGAGGAAGAATACTACGAAGCTTTTTAATTTAATCAAGTCTCATTTATTTATTTATTTATTTATTTTTATAGTTGCTGTAATTGCCTTTGGGGTCTTAGTCATAAATTCTTTGCCTAGGCTAACATCTAGAAGAGTTTTTCCTATATTCTTTTCTAGAATTTTTATGATTCCATGCCTTACATTTAAATCTTTTATCCATCTTGAATTAATTTTTGTAAGTATGAGAGATAAGGGTCCTGTTTCATTCTTTTGCATGTGACTATTCAATCTTCCCAGCACCATTTATTGAACAGGAATTCTTTTCCACAGTGTACATTGTTGTTTGCTTTGTTGAAGATCAGTTGGTTGTAGGTAGTCAATGTCGTATTTGGGCTCTCCCTTCTGTTCTATTAGTCTGTCTCTATTTTTGTACCAATAACCTGCTGTTTTGGTTATTTTAGCCTTGTAGTATAGTTTAAAGTCTGGTAATGTGATGCCTTCAGATTTGTTCTTTTTACTTAAGATTGCTTTTGCTATTCAGGCAATGTTTTGATTCCAAAAAAAGCATAGAATTATTTTTTCTAGATCTGTAAAATATGACATTGGTATTTTGTTGAGGATTGCATTGAATCTGTAAATCATTTTGGACAGTATGGACATTTTAACAATGTTGATTCTATTGATCCATGAGCATGACATATTCATCCATTTGTTTGTATTATCTGTGATTTCTGTTATAAGTGTTTCATAGTTTTCCTTATAGAGATTTTTCACCTCCTTTGTTTAGTAAGTTCCTAAGTATTTTATGTTTTTGTCGCTATTGTGAATGGTATTGAGTCTTTGATTTGACTCTCAGCTTGACTGTTATTAGCATATAGAAATACTACTGATTTGTGTACAATGATTTTGTAACATGACACTTAGCTGAGATAATTTATCAATTCCAAGAGTCTCTTGGTGGAGTCTTTGGGATTTTCTGGATACAAGATCATATCATCAACGAAAAGCAATAATTTGACCTCCTCCTTCCCAACTTGTATATACTTTATTTCATTCTTTCGTCTGATTGCTCTGGCTAGAACTTCCAGTACTATGTCGAATAGAAGTGGTGAAAGTGTGCACCTTTGCCCTGTGCCAGTTCTTAGGGGAAATGCTTTCAACTTTTCACCATTCAGTATGATATTGGCTATGGGTTTGTCATATATAGCTTTCATAATTTTTAGATATGTTCCTTCTATGCCTACTTGGTGAAGGGTTTTAACAAGAAAAGGGGCCGGAATCCGGTGAAAGCCTTTTTCTGCATCTATTGTGAAGATCATATAGCTTCTGCACAGCAAAGAAAATAATCAATGGAGCACAAAGACAGCCTACAGAATGAAAGAAAATATTTGCAAACTATGCATATGATAAAAGGCTAATATCCAGAATCGACAAGGAACGACCCTTTTAAAAAGTGAGCAGAATACACGAACAGAAGCTTTTCAAAAGAAGATAAACAAATGACCAGCAAATATGTGAAAAAATGCTCAATGTCACCAATCATCAGGGAAATGCAAATTAAAGCCACAAGATACCACCTTATTCCTGTCAGAATGGCTATTATTAAAAAGTCCCAAAACAATAGATGCTGGCATTGATACAGAGAGAAAGGAATGCTTATACACTTCTGGTGGAATTGCAAATTAATATAACCTCTATGTAAAACAGTACAGAGATTTTTCTCAAAGAACTAAAAGTAGACCTACCATTCAATCCAGCAATATTACTACTGGGTAGCTATCCAAAGGAAAAGAAGTCATTTTATCAAAAAGACTCCTGTACTTGAATATTTATTGCAGCACAATTATATATTTGTATGTGTGTGTGTATATATATATATCATGGAATATATATTATATATATATATATATATATATATCATGGAATACTACTGAGCTGTAAAAGGAAATGAATTAAAGTCTTTTGCAGCAATTTGGATGGAACTGGAGACCATTCTGAGTGAAGTATCTCAAGAATAGAAAAAAAAAACACCACACGTACTTCTAGTAAGTTGGAAATAATTGATAGGCACAGAGAGAAATAAAAATTATTAGAAATCAAGAATGAGGGGGTAGAAGGAGAATGCTAAAAACTTACCTAACAGGCAAAATGAACACTATTCAAGTGATGGGCATGCTTATAGCCCTGACTTAACCATTACAAAAGCTATTCATATAAGAAAACATTTGTATCCCATTAATATTTTGAAATAAAAAATATTATGAAATGAAAAACAATGATATGCTATGATATGCTAATGAAAAGCAATGATATACAAGAGTTTAAAGTACTCTAGATCCATTTTTATAGTGAAATGAGGGTACTAAAAAGGTCAGTTTATCTGGCAAGTGAAAGCACTGCTACAACTGTAATTCTAAATC